TGAGCCACGGTGCCCAGCCCTGATCATTTTTCTATTGAGGATTCTTCTTTTCTTTAATGATTTGCAAGACTTCCTAATCATTTGTAAGAGCTCTTTATAACCAGAGGTTTTAACTCTTCTTGTGTAAATATTCTTAGTTGTTCTTTGTGTTTTTAATTTTGTTACATGGTCTTTTGTCTTTTGAATGTAGAACTTTTTTGTTTTCATGTTGTCAAATCTGTCCATCTTTTCCTTTCTGGTATTTGGGTTTTCTTTTCATGCCTAAGAAATGTGACTTAGTGATATGGGGAAATATATTAGAATTAGCAGCTGTGAACAGGAGAGATCGACTGTTTCAGAGAGATTGAGAAGGATAAAGACTGAAAACATCCCTGCCTTTGACAGTTAGCCAACCTTTCAGAATGACGTTTCAGTGCAGTAGTAAGAGTTGCAAAATAACAGAAGAGTGTGTGTTAAGAAGTAGAGACAGTAAATATAAACTGACCTTTTAAAAAGATGGGCAATGAAAAGAAAGGGAGAGATGACACAGTGGGCTTGAAGAAGAAACTGGGTAATTTTAAATGTGTCCTAACTTTGTTGTGTTTTAAGAGGCTTGAGAATGAAGAGGCATGATAGTGGGGTGCCTAGAATGTTCATTTCTGGGTTGTAATTTCTCCATAAACTCGATGACCTTAGAGAAATACCTACTTAGGGTGGAGTCCCTCTGCCAAACAAAATGGTGGCATTAGGCCAAAGAAGTTATTTGTGGAAAGGGAGAAATTGAAGATGCAAAAAATTAAAAAAATAAAGGTATACTCTCTTGGGTCTTGTCCTTGAGGAACAGGTGAGGTTTGAAAATTCAGGCAGGAAAGTTAGCTTTGAAAACAGGGAGAGTACATCTACTTCCAAAGAAGGACATTATATAGGGAGAAATTGAAAAATCACAGTGTACCTCAATAATCACTGAGGTGGGAGTTGAAATATTCAGACACAAGAATGGAAATTGTTGACATTGACAGCCGGGGGCCTTAGGTAAGGAATTACCTAAGGATGAAATATCAGGGGTTTCTGGAGGTTCAGTCTTGGCTGGATCTCTGGCGTTTGGATTAAGTCAATTTGAGTGATTGCCCTTTGACCAGCAACACCTGACAGTCTAGATTGTTCTTAAACATTTTTTGTGTCTGGGTCTCTTTGGCAGTCCATTGAAGCTGATGGATCCCTTCTCAAAATAATGTTTTA